CATCAGGGATATTGGCCTATAATTTTCTTTCTTTGTAGTGTCTATCTGGTTTTGGGATTAGGATGATGCTGGCCTCATAAAAAGAGCTTGAGAGTTTTCCCTCCTCTTGAACTTTCTGGAATAGTTTGAGGAGAACAGGTGTTAATTCTTCTTTGAATGTTTAGTAAAACTCNTCCCTCCTCTTGAACTTTCTGGAATAGTTTGAGGAGAACAGGTGTTAATTCTTCTTTGAATGTTTGGTAAAACTCGCCTGTAGATCCATCTGGTCCAGGACTTTTGTTTGCTAGGAGTTTTTTGATTACTGCCTCCATTTCATTAGTTGTTATTGGCCTATTCAGATTTTTTGCCTCTTCTTGATTCAGCTTTGGAAGGTTGTATGCCTCTAGGAATTTGTNCTGTGTGTTTCTAGGAATTTGTGCATTTCCCCCATGTTGTCCAGATTGTTGGCATATAATAGCTCATAGTATTTTCTTACAATCCTTTGTATATCTGTTGGGTCAGTTGTTATAAATCCTCTTTCATTTCTGATTTTACTTATTTGGGTCCTCTCTCTTTTTTCTTCATGAATCTGACTAAAGGTTCATCTATCGTACTTATGTTTTCAAAGAACCAGTTCTTGGTTACATTGATTGTTTTTGTATTGTTTGTTAAGTCTCTATGTCATTAATATCTGCTCTGATCTTTATTGTTTCTTTCCTTCTACTTCCTCACGGCTTTTCTTCCTGTTCTTATTCTACTTCTTTTAGTTGTTGTGTTAGATGGTTTAGTACAGGTGGGGTTTTTTTTGTTCTTGAGGTATGCTTGTACTGCTATGAACTTTCCTCTCAGGACTGCTTTTGCTGTGTCTCATAGATTTTGGGTTGTTGTCTGTTCATTTCTGTTTTTTTCCAGGAAGTTGTTGATTTCTTCCTTGATCACATTGGTAACCCATTCATTGTTTAATAACATTCTATTCAGCCTCCATGTTTTTTAATATTTTTCAGTTTTTTTTATAGTAGTTGATTTCTAGTTTCATACTGTTGTGATCCGAGAAATTGCTTGATATCATTTCAGTCTTCTTGAACTTGTAGAGACTTCCTTTGTGCACTAACATGTGGTCTGTTTTTGGGAATATCCCATGTGCACTTGAGAAGAATGTGTATTCTGCTG